TAGGGAAAGGATCTTTGTTACACACAGAACAGATATAGACTGTTTTATTTTCTACCTGCACCAAGTCAAATGAACCACACTCTACCTTCATTCATGCCAATGGAAAAAAGTAAACAAAAACTCCCACAGGGCACTAGAATGCCTTTATTTCAAAAAAGGGTAAGAGACCTTCATATTATGAATGGACAGAAGTTTGTGGAGATGTTTTTTCATACAGGTTTGACTAGTAAGTTTCTGAAATGACATGCTTTTATCTGGGAATATAGGACCTTCTAAATAATTTCAGGGTAACCTCTGTTCCATACATAGTCTGCATGGTCCCCAGTAATTATGAGGTTGGAAGAGAGATGAAATTATTCCATACATACAGAATAGGGAGGTTGAGGGGAAAGAGAATTGCAAATATTATTCACAAATGACCAGTTTGCCTCCTGTCTGGAATATCTCAGGTCAGATGACAAGATACACAAGAATACCCAATAGAAGGTTTCAGTCTCTCTCTCGGGTACTTCCTGCCTGCCTGCCTACAGTGGTTGTGATAGAGAATAGATTATTTTGTTATCAAAAAGATTCCTCACAGATTTGTAAAACAGTGCTTCCAAGTTTTTAACATTAAAGTTTAGCAACCATAGGTCTATTCAGCCACTTTCTAAACTTCTGGGCCCCTAGAAAGAGGTGAGAATAAGGCAAAAGAGAGATGTATGTTTCCACTTATGACTATCTGCACAAGATGAAAGAAAGACATGAGTAACTAATCTCTCTACCAGATCAAAGCTAACTAGAAATTGTTCAAACACTCCATAGAAAATCACAGGAGATTCTTCTTCTTTCTTATGCATATTTCATGAAGAGCACTTAGAAGTTACTTTATCAGAGAAAAGACAAGGTAAGAACCTCTGCTATGTTGGTCAAGTAAGGCACAGGATAGAAACATTATCAAGACAACTGTTACAGAACAAATGGTGCCGAATCCTCATGACAATATAGGAGCAACACAGAGAGAGATATGTAACAGACTGTAGCTTCCTAACTTCAACACTAGTAATGGATCTAGACAAGCCCTTACAGTTCTGCAACTGATTTAAGTGTCCACCTTAATCATGTAAGAGTAAGTACCTTTTCAGCAATATAAAGGATTGCTGGAACTTCATTTAAATCACACACAGAATCACAGAATCGCTCGGTTGGAAAAGACCTCTGAGAACATGATGTCCAACCGTTCCTGTCTACCCACTAAACCATATCCTTAAGGACCTCATCTCCCTGCTTTTTAAATACATCCAAGGGTGGTGACTCCACCACCTCCCTGGGCAGCCTGTTCCAGCTTCTGACGACCCTCTCAGTAAAGAACTTCTTCCTTATCTCTAACCTGAACCTCCCTTGGCACAGCTTGGTGCCATTTCCCCTTGTTCTATCCTCCATTACCTGGGAGAAGAGACCAGCCCCCACCTCTCTACAACCTCCCTTTAGGTAGTTGTAGGTGGTGATGAGGTCTCCCCTCAGCCTTCTCTTCTCCAGGCTAAACAACCCCAGTTCCCTCAGCCGCTCCTCCTAAGGCTTGTTCTCCAGACCCCTCACCATCCTTGTGGCTCTTCTCTGAACATGCTCCAGAATCTCCACACCTTCTTATAGTGAGGGGCCCAGAACTGAACACAGCACTCGAGGTGCGGCCTCCCCAGTGCCGAGTACAGGGGGATAATCACCTCTCTGGACCTGCTGGTCACACTGTTTTTAATACGGGCCAAGATGCCATTGGCTTTTCTGGCCACGTGGGCCCAGTGCTGGCTCATGTGAAGCCGACTGTCAACCAACACACATATAGTTAGACTAGTGATTCTTCTAAGATTTCAATTATGAAGATGGTACAATGTTTTTTTTTCCATCACATTTTGGTTGGTTCATAAAACTTGCTGCATTTTGGAGAATGTCTAGCAAAACATCTCCTTTACTGGTTTTGGCCTTAATTTGTTCTTACAATGGATGGCCATACATAATATTCAAAGCTTACTTATCAAAATACTGGATTAATAATATATTTTTTTCATATTGTGAACACTAAAAACTTCTGCCTCTGATTCTTCAAAATACATCAGAAAATAAGAAGATACATACTGCAATTCTACTAGTAAGTGAGCCACCGATTCCTCTTTGAAAAGTCTGTTTGATGCTCTTGAGTAGGTCTTTAGCCTTCTGTATGTCCTGAAGTAGCAGATGAACATCACTGCTGTCAAAATTCTGTGTGTACAAAAACAAAGAGGGGAAAAATAAGCTAATTACTATTCAAATACCAACCAAACACAGCTTGCTTGCTTTGATGTACATACACCTATAAAAGACTGCCTGGCATAGCAGAACTGAGTGTGAATGTACCTAATGCACCGCACAGAAGCTATTAATAATAATATATTACTTACAAAGTTCTTTAGAATCAGTCTACAATAAGCCACGCTTTCATCCTATTCATCCACTTTATGAAACTGAACAATATCTGCAAAATTTATTGTGTTTTTAGGAAAGTATTTTCAGTTGCAGAAAGAATTAACCACAGGTTTATTGATCACATCCTCAGCACTTCTATGATAGACTTTCAGCACCAGGTCTTGCTACAAACTTCTACTCCGATGATAATTAGTTTACCCTCTCAAAGTGAAGAATCATCAAAAAAGGAGAAAAATGCTTTGTCTCTCTGGCTGTCACCTACCTCTCCATTTGAAGAGCAGCAATGATAACGGCCTCTCACAGCTTCTGCAAAGTTCTTTAGAACTGCCTACACATATAAATAGGAAGAAAAATAGTTACTTTGATTTGGTAGTCTCTTTTGTTAACTTGGGCTGTTTGTATTTAATTCCCAATTAGAGCTAGAGAAAGAATCTTTGAGGTCCTAACACCATTACTCACAAGAGAAGTAGGATTGCTGCAATCATATGTAACAGCATGAATCTGCAGTTTTCTCCCCAGCATACACTGCTGAGCATAGTCAGACAGTATTTCCAAGGACTGATCAGGGCTGATATAAATAAATAAATAAATAAGGAAAAAAATATTAACAATGGCAGTAATCAACTGGGAAAAAAGGCTATATTGAAGAAAGAAGACAGGAAAGAAAACTAAGAGGGAAAGAAAGAACAAGTCATGGGAATGTAAGCCAGCCATTCAGCACAACCTGACCTCCTCTTTCTCTTTCAGCCATTACTGAAGTATCACTACTGGGGTTTGGTACTGTTCTGAAGACCTGGATGATAATAAAAGCACTAAGATTCTATTCCAGTTCATAACAGCTTGTGGATGAAATGTTCTAAATTATTCCTTGCTAGCCATGAAAGCTAAAAGTCAGGAATTGTGGTTTTGCTCCCTGTAACAAACTGCAATAAAAGTTTTCAACTCAGATCTTCAGCTGTATGTAAGAATGTCCATGGTCTTCCAAAGGCACCAAAGAAAGTAAAAATTTGCTCTGTGTTTAGAACTTAGTGACCCACACAGCTTTCATTCCTTGAGTTTTGATCATTCGTCATGGCTAGTAAAATCCTTTCCTTCCAGCTATACTTCTCACAGGGACAGAAATTAGGAAGTTTTCACTTGCACATACTATAAACTTTTGCTGTCTGTTCAAAGTAGACCTACACAAAACTTAGAAACGTTTAACTGAACACTGTATGTTCAGTAAATTAGCTGAAATGTAATCTCAATCACCCTAAATATCAAGCTTGCCAAGCTTGCACCATACCCTCTATGCACGTTTAAATACAACATAATAAATTAGGAGTATGGCAACTGTAGGTTTTTTTCTTATAATCCTGACTTCAGTACCACAAGTTTTCAAATGACAACAGAACTGCAGAATTTAAGGTCATAATTTTCTATTCTCACCCTGGTTTTATTTATTTAATCAGATATTTAAAGTTTTCCATCAGCACCAAGATCACAGAGATAAGACTATCTTTGAACACTTGATGCTATTTTACAGCAAAATCTAGCTCATCATCTAATCTTCCCAGAGGTGTGGACACTTTCAGTGACATCCTTAATGACGCTGAAGGCTCTATATTGATGTAACATTAGAGCTAACAGACTCTTGATGGATTACTGTGACAACTGATCTGCAAAGGAAAAACTTAGCTTTGTATCAGAAGAGAAGATTTATCAACAGTAAAAAAAGAGAAGAAATAAAGGAATTTAGTGGTATGAACTAAAATTACATAAAACCTAGATCTTAAATTCAGATTCTTCTACCAATTCTGTATCCAAGTTAAAGCCAATTGTTAGGATAGATAAGGAATTTACCAGCTCCCTACAATAAGAACCAGAGAATTCAGTTCTTTCATTGCAAGGACGTGTTTTAAGGCTTTCAGCAAATTGCAGCCTTGACCAGGCTCCAGCTGTTGTATCCACTGTCTTGCTTCATGCAGCCTGAGGGATAAGAAAAAAAAAAAGGAATAGGTACACTTAACATTCAGGTGCTAAATAAGATAGTTCATGAAGATTACTACAAACAACAGGACCTGCTAAGATATTTAATACATGAGCAACCAGCTTGAAAACACTGATTGCACTTAAAATTGCTTTTTTTTCCTCTTACAAATCACTGCAGGCACAAGATGAAAACCATGATTTATTACCTACAAGAGACTGCTCTAATTAAATGGAGACCCTGTTTGAAACATCTTTAGTTTTCAGAGAAATGAACTTACGCATGAACATTGATGTTTTTTGGACTCTCCCACAGAGGTGAAATTTCTGTACCGAATGAGAGGCAGTACAATTGCTTCTTGTAACACAGCTGTTCATCTATTAAGCACTAATAAATAAAAAATTATAAATGCATTACTATCAATGCTGCTTCCAGTACTGTTATTGTGTAAAAGAATAAAAATAATAATTCTCTAAAAATCATACAGATTCAAATATTTTTTACAGAAACAAAACCTGAAAAAAATCACTGAATAAAGAATTAGTTCTGTTTAGCTGAAACTGGAATGCTATGGTAATCCAGCCAATTTGTTGATGGGGCAAGAGGCAGTATTTGTGATACTGATATTAGTTTTTCTCTTCAGTTGATTAGCACATAAAACAACATACTGATCTAGAATGGGCATATTCACCCATCAAGCAATTACAAAAAAAATATTTAATAAAAATTCATGGACAGGGCTAAACAATAGTTAAAATACTGAGGCTAAGCCAACCAGGCTATGTGGAACTCGTGTTTTCTTAAAGTAGTTTCATTTAAAATGCACAAATGAAAAATGCAGGTAATATAAATAAAATTCAAATAATTATCGAATGCAGGGAATGAAATTGTACAAAGTTAGACAGTAACCCAGCCACACTGTATCTTCCTTCATTACACCAAATTTTTTATAAAAATAAAGAGCACAAAAAAGGACAAATTTCTTTTGGGACTTCAGGTAGTAATTAACTCACCAGGGTTCTGACCAAAAATGTGAAGCATGCCTTGTGACAAAACAAAGGCTTAAGCACACTATATTTAATATAAATAGCTCTATGTACAATTTGGTTCTACCTCTTACAGCAGTTTCTGTTTGGCAAGTTCATTCCATAGAGAATGCCGATACAAGAACTGAGAAACTTCTAAATATTAACATGAAAGGTATTATTATTATGGTGCATACTGGAGTTTGTTTACATCTAGACTTTAAAAAGACTACACTTTCAAAGACATTTAAAACACACTTTTCTACAAGAAAAAAACCTTGTATTATATTGTATATAATGAACTGAAGCCGATTTTATTCTACTTAGTTCCTAGTTTGTAGTTACATAAAAGCTTGATTAGTATGTTCTAATTGCTAAAGTCTTTTATTAATATTCTATTCTATTTTATATATATATAATTATTCTATTGCTAAAGCCTATTATTACTTACCAAAAGGTCCTTCTGGAAATCCAGTAGTCTAGGTCCGTAACTCATACCAGACACATCAACCACAAGTCCAACTTTGGCTCCTTCTATAAGGCCAAACACCTCAAAACAGAAATGTAATTATAAATACTAAACTTATCTAAAGTTTAAAAATGTTACTGTTTATTCTGCACTACACCATTTAAAAATCAGGTATTAGGTATTTATTTTCACTTCAAGCTTTTTAGCATAAAGATGACACAGTGACAAAAGGGGGGGGGTGGGAAGAGAGAGGGCTACTGGCTCCCAGTTTATCCTTACCAGTGAGTTATATTTGCTTATTCCCAAGACAATCTATCCATTATTTGAGAGGATAAAAAATAACCTTGTCTACAGCATCTCCTTCAAGTTAAATCAAACAACTTAGTGGAAGTTATATTTTGGTTTAAATGGCACTGAGAGGTCGAGATGATTAAGATTGCTGAGAGAAAGAAAAACACTAGATCTAGAAAGCAGAAAACCACATACCGATGAAAGATCAAGAAAATCTACTGTCAAGTATCACCGCGCATGATGCGTAACTGACAGTAAATAATGGAAATACATAAGCTTTCTGGAAGGTCACTTTTCACCAATATTCAAAAGTTAATTTTTTATTTAATGCCATACACAATTCCATTCTAATAATATACTTCAAAGTTAAGGTTACCTTTCTGCGGTCCTGCAACAGCCACTGAATTCGCTGCTGATAAAGTTCAATCACTCTGACAAAAGGCATAGCACACACTTAGCTAAGGCATTCACTTGGACTGAGTATCAATGTAATATTCAGCCATTTGTCTTTATCCCATCCTTTTTCTCACAAATGCAAAATCACCTTTTAAAAATACTGTTTTCAGTGTTCACATACAAGTGGTGGTTGCAGGGCTAATAATTTAAATACTTCTCCCCCTACAGCTGTTAGATTGATTATAGAGATGTAGCTGTCTGAAAACCCAGACCATTGATATGTTTTCTAACTATTTCTGGCTTATTCTGTCCAGATTGGAGAGGAGTATTCACCATGTGTATGTGTGAACAGCAGCAGCTCAGTAAAAACTGAGTTTAGTTCATTACAAATAGATTGTTGTCAGGTTTGTTTAATACAAACTGCACTATTTCTTAAGACACTCACGAAATACAGTCTTGTGATTGAAAGGCAGCACACTCTGGAACAGGTTGCCCAGAGAGGTAGTGAAGGTTCCATCCCTGGAGATAGTCAAGATTAGGTGTGGTGGGGCTCTGAGCAACCTGGTCTAGTAACACTGTCCCTGCTTACTGAAGGGGGTTGGACTAGATGATCTTTAAAGGTCCCTTCCAACCCAATACATTTGAGGATTCTATGAAGTGCCAGACTAACTGCAGCACAACTTCCAATTATTTAATTTCACAACAGGTATACCCTAAGGTAAAACAAAGTGCCTGCTGTCCTCCAAAACTGTTTTACTTCAGCCAACTTATTTTTAATATCATGTGCATAGTCATCACAATTTAGCAAACAGAAAGTTTAAATCAACATCTCAAAGGGTGAAAAGCTTTTCGCTTTTTCAAAATACAAAAGCTACTTCTTTCTTAAACCAGATTGGCAGATAGTTTGCCTCGATGGTGCAGGGCCCAAGTCCTGAAGGTGGACGTTTTGAATGTTCTGGATCTTCATGACTGACACAGTGAGGTATGTTAAAGTGGTGGCATTCCTAGGAACAATCTAACAAAGACTGTGAAGACCAGCAAAAACATTATTATTATTCTATAGCTTATTAAGCCTATTCATTAAATGTTTTCCTCAATTTGCATTTCTTTGATTTTATACAACTTCCACATATCATGACTAGATCCATGACTTGAAACTAATCCAAGTTACAGTAAACGCAATCCACAAATATGCAGCATTACCTGTAACCATTCACTATCTGTCTTTCAGTGGAAAATCTGGTTGATAGGCATCTTCAATAAAACAATAAAAAACCTCAGCTGTAGTGACATATAATTATCACCTACCCTAAAGCCCAGCAGAAAGGATTTAATGCTGAAATACTCTGAAGTTCCCAGAGATAACAAATATAAGACTTAAGGCAGTACCTGTAATCATGGGGGATACAGAATCAGTTACGCAACAAAATCCTGAACAAGATGGGATACTTACTCACAAATTCTGGATTCAAAATCGGTAACAGTCTCTTCTGTGAACTCCATCTCTTCAACATCATTTCCTGAATTCCTGGAACACCATGCATAATTAGCATCAGAGATGCACACAAATTAGGACTCACTAAAGAAAGGGTAGTGTTACACTTACAAAACAATATTGCCTTTATTTATCAGATGCTCTAATGTTAATTGCAAGGATTCTAAATTGTAGCTTCTTAGCCATTCTTCTGTGGTTTGCTCCTTTTTAGACTGCATTTTCTTCATTTGTATTCCCTATAGATCAAATAAGAAAAAATTAAATGCAATACGAGAAATGAAACATGCAGTTCAAATGTGACAAAACTATAAGTCCTAAGGACTGCTGCTGGTAGGCAGTGCATATCCAAGAACAACATAATTTCAGGTACTGGCATACTCCTTTGGATGTGGGATGCAAAAGATATGTAACCCTCAGACTGTGAGCTAAAGGGAGGGGAAGGAGAGCTTAGTTAGGTGGATACAGGAAGAAAGACAAGGAATAGGAAAGTTTAGTAAAAGAAATAAAAGAAATACCTCAGTAAATTACCAAAGGAAGAAAAATAAAGCATTTCCAAAATCTGCTTCACAAAGTTGAAGGGGTATATATATTGTATTCTACTTTTCCATGAAAAATGCAGTATCAATAATTGATCTACCTTAATTGTTTTGTCCAATTTGCTCATGGACTGATTCATTTATGAAATTATATGTCACTTCATGATTGTAGTGAAATTGTGGGTATATGAAAAATATAGGTAAGGAAATGTATCAGTTGCCTATCAGCTTATTTATTCCTCACTCTGTATTTACAGTGCGTATGTGTTACTTTTCTAGTTGCAACATTTAGCAGGAAAAAATGCCTAACAGCAGATCTTGTGTCTTGTTTATATGTGTTACCAACAATCTGTTAGTTGATCCTAGATCAGATATAGTAAAATCTTGCCGTGGTGGATGATGATGCTGTAGACTAGATTCTGTGGTCACCCTACAAGACAGTGAATGTTATGGCACTATTTCACTTTCCATAGTATTTCTGTATTGTCATAAAGTCTTTATGAGCTTTTTTTTTCTGTAGGAATTATTCTATATTTTAACATTTGCTTACACATTCTATTTGATATATGTTAAATGTTTTGAAATGACATAGTACATAGTTTTTATGAGCTACAATTATTTACTCTGTAGCAACATAGAAAGTCCCAACAAGACTTTATAAGTAAGTAAACTTACCCAACTTTTTCCAAAAACTGATCATTGTCCAACAACTGTGCCATTTTTCTGATGTGTATATATCCCTTATATGAAAAGACTGAGCCTTGTTAAAAAGAGCAAAGAGACAAAGTATTAAAATAAAAAGCTGAAATCCTCAGAAATATACACTATTTAAAAAGGTATTAATATTGTCAGCAATTTTATGGTAATTATATTGCATGTGGGACAACAGTAATTAAAAATTACTGCAGAGAGAATTTACAATTATCCATTACAGAAAACACATTTAGGAAACATTCTGCAAGTTATTTGTTAAGGGATTTTATGCAGTTAATTATATGCATGCACAGCTGCTGGGAGACTAGCTACACAGCTCAACCAGAAAAAAAAAAAGATTAACCAAAGCAAAACCCAGAACTCCATGGGAGAGCATAAGCCGCAGCAGGAGCAAGGGACAGGCAACTAGAGACACTCAGGCTGTGAGGCAAGGGGATGGCAGGCTGCCCCTCAGGTTTAGGCAACACACAAACAAAAAACTCAAAAAAACCCGAAAACAAAGCAAAACCGATCATAAAACCCGGTTTTTCACTTCTTTGGGCTTCTCCGCGTCAACCCGCCTCCAGCTTCCCGGGCCCTTCCCCTCACCAGCGGTTGCCAGCCCTCTCCCCGCGCCGCCCATCCTCCGAGACCCTCCTCACCTCAGGAGCCTGCGGCCCGGCAACTCCCCCGACTTCCCGCTTCTCCGTTCCCAGAGACTCACCTCACCGAGGAAAAGGTTTTCCCGATTTCCATCCTCCCTCTCTCCCTCCCCGGTCTGTGCACCTTCCGAAAGCCCAGGCAGCCACCGCGCCAGTGATCCTCCCAAGCTCCCTCAGCATCGTCAGGCCACGGCACCTCCTGGCACTCACCCGACCTTCCGTGCCAGCCAGGTGCCGGCGACGCGGAGCGGTCTGGATGCAGCCCAGTCTCTCGGCGCGTAGGGGCCCGGGAGCAGCCCGGCCCAACGCCTCCCTGGGCACGGCCGCGTTACAGCGTTGCCGATGGAGACGAGACAACCCGGCGCCGCTCGCCGCCGCCTGAGGGCGGTAGTGGGCGAGAAGGGGAAGCGCGTCATGCGTCCCTGCTGGGCTGAAGAGACACCTGCGCGCGAGGGGCGGAGCCAGCCCCAGTCAGCGCAGACAGGGCCATTGCGTTTAGTAGACAATTTATTTTGATAAACTTGCTCAATAACAAAAATACAAGTGAAGAAAATTATGTTCATTTTATACAGTTTGTATTAACATTTGTTCGGAAATCATTAATTGAAAAATGCTCTAACCAATTAGAAAACAATCCTCAGTAAAGGCCGCGGGGGGCCGCAGGCGGTCAGGCCTCGGGCAGGGAGCGACGCAACACCCAGGCAGGACAACCTGCTTGAGACACCATTTCCTTCATTATTTTCAATCCTTCACAAAGGCTTTAAAGGACAGCTTTCATTTTTTTTTTTTTGGGGGGGTGGGGGTGGGGGTGTGTGTGTGCGCGTGTGTGCGTGCTGGGGCAAATAGTAATCTATAGCTGTTTCGAAGTGGTTAAACAACGGCTCTGAAACACGACGCAACTGGACAGCCCCAATCTGGCGGCTTTGCCTCAGCCAGACGATCGAGCTCAGGTGGTGCTGCATATTACCAGCATATTCAGGAAACTGGTGTCACTCGCCAGCAAGATTAACAACGGAAAATAATGTTAAAGGGTTAGACTAGTGCGTTCAGGGAAGCACATCCTCCCCAGGTCAGACACAAACAGCTTCCAGGCAATTATTTCAACTGAGTTTAACAACAAGATTTATACAGACAAATCAATTAGTTTTCCTTCTGAAGGTATTTCAAGTTTCCAATCTTACATTTTGTTAGCCAAATAAACAACAAAGTGTGCACAAGCTACATTATGATGGGACATCAAACCTTTGAGGGAATTTTGAAGCAAAAGACTAAATAAGAATCCCTTGTAATGCATGAAATGAGCTGTCCTTCAAAAAATATAATGGCTGGCAGAATCAGAAAAGTTTATGTAAACACTCAACACAAATACGAGATTACCTTTGGAGAAGATTCATGAACTGAAAAAAGTTCAGGCATGTTCAGTACGAACTTCCTGTAGTTTAAAACAAAACCTCGTGCAAATAAAACCTATAAATAGTCTTCAGATTTTACAGTGATGCTCTTAGGTATGAAAAGAATGCACAGAACTTTAAAACAAAAGTAACAGACATAAATTTGACAAATGATTGCACCATAAAACAGTGTTTTATATACAGTTTACAAGATATGATTTTCTGCTATAAATTAATACTGTACTGTATAGTACTTAGTGACCTTATTAAAAGCAACTGTTGACAACTGTCTCTTCAATTATTGAGTGGGGTTTTTTTAAATGCAGATGGCTGCATCTATTTCTGGATTTAAAATGCTCAAATACTTAATCAAACAATCTGCTAGTTAAATCTCTGCTATCATTTAATAATTCATAGCAATAGCATTGGCAGATCAGACAAATTTCCAGCCAGCCAGCCACAGTCTGGGTATGCTCCAAGTGTTTATATTTTTTTATTAAATGATGATCCATTTAATCTAAGCCTAAGTCCACTGTATACATGTTACTAAAACTGAAATAAGCAAGCTGGGATGGGAAGAAATCTTAGCAGCTGAAAAACTCTCCCCTGCACCTGTGTTTCAGTTACAAAAATCTCCTAGAACTATTTACAAGAGTGACATTTCTGAAAAAAAGAAGAGCTTTTTTTTTTCAACATAATTTATGATCTAAGTTTTAGTGAATACTTCAGCTTAGGATAGAGCAGTGATAACACCAAAAATTTAGACACGCATACAGAAGCTGTATCCTGCATTTTATCTCCACCAACATCACTAGGGTCCTCAGACTACCCATGCAGATGAAGGCTTAAATTAAGAACAAAATCATATTTAAACCATTACTTTCAAGTAGGTGCCCAGCTGCATTTACAGATTACTATACTTTAGAAAAAATTAGTGTTCTGTAAACACTGCCTTCTACCTGTGAGCTGACTGCAAAAAAAAGTTGCTTACAGACCATTCCAGTGACAAGTTTGTTCAAAAACATCAAAAGAAAAAAAATCAGCAAATAACCTCTTCTTATTAAAATACCTTGGGAAGGGGAGAGGGAAGAGGTGAAGGAGGAAAAGGAGGACAGGGACCCACACTAGGGTCTGAATGGCACACAGTTTAAAAGAACTGTGCAAATTGTCTTATTTTCAAACACTTAAGCTTATTTGATAATTGATTATTTTGGAAACTGCTGATTATATTTTAACAACAACCTCATTCTAAAATACACTTTCACTAACATTTTAGGAAAGTGTCTATTTAGTAATGCAGTTCTAATAATGTCAATGAAACAGCATTTGAAACAATTTTTTTTTTGTTTTAATAATGAATCTCAGGTAAATCAGATATTAACTGGAACATAAATACTGATAGTGCAGGCAGCTTTCCTGGACACTGAATTGTACTTTCTGCAAAGTTAGATTGAGTAGTGAGTTATGATGCTGATGGATTCAAAGGTTTATCCTTGTGTCTTGTGTTAAAGAATAAAACTAGCTTTAGTGAGGAAGATTTACTCCAAATCTGGGTGGCCCTTAAATCTGTATTTAAAGTAACAACTTGAGTAAACAAGACATACAATATTTCAACAATTATATTGCTCTGGTTTTTTTGCAAAGATGAATTAACACTCGGATGAAAGTAAGTTCATCCGCCTTTGCAGTGGAATACTGTTTGCATTACTTTAAACACTGCATTTTACATGTGCTAGAGAAATCTTACCTATGGTAAAATGCTGTGCTTGAACATGTATGAATGCTAATGTAACAATGCAGTAGAAAAAGAGACTTCCTGTGCAACAGTTGCTAATAATTTAAATAGTGTCAGTTTCCCAAAATTAGGATTTTAACCTTAAGGTATGACATGATCTCACCTTCTACCCTCATATACAAATAAATTACCGTAAAAAGAATTTTAGCTTAACTTAAAATTGCACCTAGAAAGGCATGGGATCGTCTGTACCTATTACAAAAACTGTTAAAATCAAGGGCTGCTACAAAGAATGAGGTAAACTGAAGACTCTCAGCTATGTGGCCTTCAGAGAAATGGCTTTTTTCTATTGAGTTCTAGTTTTGCACACCACAGTGTTTTGCTAGCAAAGCGTTCTGAGTTCTTTTCCAGGAACCATTTGTGTGTATATACATATATATACACATATATGTGTATATAAACACACACACACACACACACAC